TGATAAGACAGCTCTGTTTTTCACTAGACTACTCCAAAGACGAGTGTAAGAGACTACGCAGCGCCTTTTCAGGGCATCGACCAACAAGACCCTCCTCCATTCTCGCATCTTGATTCTTATGTATATAGCATACATACTCTTTGTAACTTTGTTTGGTGTTACTCTTTCACACATAGGGAGCTGTTTTGGTTATTGGTTTTGAAAAAAACAAAAAAAGCTCATAAGATTTGTGAACAGTTTGTGTTTGACATTAGATATGCATTATCTAGTTTGAGTACTGGCACTGGAATAAAGCAGAGGATTGTTTCAAGTGTTTACAAACACTATTGTATAAGACTTTTGGTTTTGGTGCATTACTTAAGTAAAATCACACACATATGTAAATAAGACGAAAAAGGTGAAGAGTTTCATTCACTTATTTCTGAACAATCAAGATGAGTAATATGGGTGTGCTCTGTACAGCTAACAACCCGGAAGAGAATGCTTACTTGAGATGTTCAACGCTCTCAAAAATCAAACTTCCCCAGGAAGCATAGTATCTACCGGACCAAGATCACAGAAGGCGATGCCCTGAAACATACATCCATGAAGCAACTAAGGTTAGCTTCTATTATAATGGTTTTGTTTGACTAGACAAGAAAAGATACATACCTCTCCAGTGAGGTGTGCAACACATTTCTTCTCAGCCAACAGTTCCGCTTCCGACTACAATAGTTTCATGTCTCAGTTTAACTACTAGCATTAAGACACAAAACCCGCAAAAGACTAATATCTAAGAAGGCTATACCTTGGCGATTCGTTTGCGAAGGTAGTCATCAAATTCTACATCCTTGACAAGTTCATAATCTCCATCTCCCTGGAAACAAGCCCAATTTTTAGAGTTACCACTAGAGAAAGCTTTAAGTGTTAAGGATAGAACATACCTTTGACCGGCATGGCATGCTGAAGACAAGGTCCTCTGCGATACCATAAGGATTTCCATTTGTGTACACCTAAATTACATTAACACAACCTTATCAAAGTTTGAACCAATCTATCTTGTTGTCATCAAAATGAGTGTAAGAGAAGACGTACCCCAGTGGAAAACCAATCACCCTCAGGAGTAGGAGTTACAAGAGACTTTATAGCATCAACAATGGAAACAGCGGTAGAAGCCGCAGATGATCGACCCCATTTCTGAATTAATAAGCCTCCTCTCTGTAAAACAAACGCAAAAGTAACTTACTCAGACAAATGTTATATCTCTCTTCCAGAAATCATCACAATATAAGAGGAAACGCCATGTTACCTTCTGCACACTCTCAGTGAATCCCTCTTCTAACCATTTGTGATCTGTAATAACCTCCTTCACCGGCAGGCCATTAATTCTGGCATTTAAGAAGTCTGGCACCTGATTCACCTCTAAAAAGTAAGAGAAACCTCCCAAGATGCAGAAAAATAACAAATGACACTAGAGAAAGTAAAAGGCGAACCTGAGTTGTGGAGTGATTTCCCCATATGGTCATATTAGACACTTTGTCGTAGAAGACACCGGCTTTAAGGGCAAGCTGCAAAATGGCATTACCAATCA